ACAGCACAGTAGAGGAAGTAAAAAAACACCTTCCAGAATTTCACTGTCCAGAGGCCCATTGTGCTTTGTGCACATGAATGTTATCAGTGTAACTCCTCCATAAAGGGAGGCGGGCATGGGCCTTTTACCGCCTTCCTTGTTGCTACAGACCTTAAATATTTTAAGCATGCATGGAAAAACTGCAAGGAAGTAAAGGCCACAAATTCACTCCTGCGAACACATGCATCTTACAGGTACACTCACCAGGTTTTGCCTTGCAAATGTATAAAACATTATTATTATCAGCAAAAGAGCTCCTTAATACATCACAGGAAAGAGGTGTCATTTTAATTTGTGTAAGCCACTTTGATTCCCAGTCCGGGGAAAAGGTGAGATATAAATAAATAAAATAATAGTAATAAGAATATTAATAACAATAGATGCATATACTGTACTCTTCCAAATGTCACCTTTGTCTCGCCTGAAAAGCTCAGATTTTAGAATTTACACTCTGAGAGGATAATATGGCCATAGTTCAGTGGCAGATCAACTGCTCTGCATGCAGAAGGCTCCTGAAACCCAGGAGAGCTGCTGTCAGTCAGTGTGTGAGAGACTGCACTGAGCGAGATGGACCAATAGTCTGCCTTGGTATATAAGGCAGCTCCACTGTGAAAGAGGGGCAGCAATGCTTCCCAGACCAGTTGCTGGGAATCACAGTTGGGAGAGAGCACTGCTGTTGTGCTCAGGTCCTGTTTCTGGGCTTCCCATGTGGGCACCTGGCTGGCCACTAAGAGAAGAGGATGCTGGGCTGTATGGGCCACCGGCCTCATCCAGCAGGGCTCTTCATATGCCCCCACGTTCTTCCCATGTGACGCAGTTGGTAAGATGCTTGGGGTGTCTTCTTCTGGAGTGACAGGTGACACAGCCTAGTCCTTGCAAGGGTGTTGTTAATGCTAATACAAGACAAAGCAAGGCCTGGGAGTCATTCTGGACTCACAGCTGTCCATGGAGGCACAGGTTAATTCTGTGTCCAGGGCAGCTGTCTACCAGCTCCACCTGGTGCGCAGGATGAGACCCTACCTGCCCGCGAACTGTCTTGCCAGAGTGGTGCATGCTCTAGTTATCTCCCGCTTGGACTACTGCAACGCGCTCTACGTGGGGCTACCTTTGAAGGTGACCCGGAAACTGCAATTAATCCAGAATGCAGCAGCTAGACTGGTGACTGGGAGTGGCCACATAACACCGGTTCTGAGAGATCTGCATTGGCTCCCAGTACGTTTCTGAGCACAATTCAAAGTGTTGGTGCTGACCTTTAAAGCCCTAAACGGCCTCGGTCCAGTATACCTGAAGGAGCGTCTCCACCCCCATCGTTGTGCCCGGACGCTGAGGTCCAGCACCAAGGGCCTTCTAGCGGTTCCCTCATTGCGAGAAGCAAAGCTACAGGGAACCAGGCAGAGGGCCTTCTCGGTAGTGGCGCCCGCCCTGTGGAACACCCTCCCAGCAGATGTCAAAGCAATAAACAACTATTTTACTTTTAAAAGACAACTGAAGGCAGCCCTCTTTAGGGAAGTTTTTAATGTCTGATGCTGTACTGTTTTTAATATTCAGTTGGAAGCCGCCCAGAGTGGCTGGGGAAACCCAGCCAGATGGGCGGGGTACAAATAATAAATTATATTATTATTATTATTATTATTATTTTACTGCCTCCTGTCTTGGACAGAGCAGGGCAAGCCACAGTCAAAGGACCAGCACCAAGCGCAGGTACACTGACGAAAGCTGACATCTGCAATTCCCCTGGAAACTATCCTAATTCCACAGCTTGTGGGCTGCCACAGAGAGTGCTCTCTCCCACCTGCCCCCCGAACCTCTGAGAGCAGTGGAAAGAGCAAGAAGGCCCCCCCTGCCAATGTTAACAGCCAAGGGGGTCTGTAAGGAAGCAGTCTTCAAGCTGCAGGGATGCTGGATGGGACAGGACAGGACCACAGGAACTTAGGAAACAGTCTTATGCCGAACCAGAACATTAATCCATTTAACTCAGTATTGTTGACACTGACTGACAGCAGCTCTCTGGGGTTTTACAAAGGGGCTGCTCCCAGCCTTACTGGAGATGCCACCAGATATTGAACCTGAGACCTAATGCATGCAAAGCATATGATCCACTGTTGAACTACAGCCCCTCCTCTAATACCAGGACAGATGAACAGATTCCCCCAGAAAGCCAGGCAACCACAGATTGTGCATACATCAAAGCAAAGCTGCACCCAATTTACAGCTGCTGTTTAGCCAGAAAATATTCACTTGCTGAATGGCTGCTTGGCATACAGTTGTTTTAAGAAACAAAAAATGCAATCCTAGCAAAGAGTTAATGGCAGCCCACCCTGGATACGGGTGGAGGAAACAACCGTCATTCTTTACATACGTGTGCACACAATAATTCTCCAGCCACCACTATACCCACTACCTAAAAAAAACAGCTATGCACACCCAACCACAGATATCCAACCTTTGCAAACCTGGAATGTGTCACATATCGGATTGGGGAGAAGTGGTAAACTGTAGCCACACACAAAAGCACCACCAAAACCTTGTGGGTGTGACCGACATGCACACACCCTGAACTCTCAAGGTACGGTGTCCACCGTTTCCCTCCTCATATTGTTTCCCTCCTCATATCAGTTTTTTATTATTAATTAGATTTCTTCCCCACCCTTTACTATGCGGTCCTAGGACAGGTTATAGCAATTAAAAAATATAGTATTAAAACAGATTAGGATCAAAAGAAAAAAGTGGGTCCTAAAATATATATCTCCCAGGTGTCAAAGGCCAGGGTAAAGAGGTGTGTATTAAATGTCCAAGCCGACACATTTAACACGCACAATCTACAATTCTGTGCACGCGAGCAAGACAGCCAAGCCCTTCCCTGTCTGTATCTCACACATCAATACACTTTAAAACCCATGGCTTGCCTTCCAAATCACACCCAAATGGATGTTTACCGTGGACAGAAAAAAACACTAGATATTCCCTCTCCATATAACATTCTCATGCACACACACCTACCTTCTCAGGACATGCTCACAACGCAACCTAGGCCAATTCAAAAGCCTGGAAATAGGGACAAAGCCGAAGGATGGAGGCAAGAGAGATTTTTGACACCTCCTTGCTGTGTGAGAGAGACAAAGACTATCACTTTAACACAACACTGGAGGATCTGGCTATTCGAAGAGCACAAGGTTTGGTCACTCCAAGATCATCACACACACACACACACACACCACATTTAAACCCAGGAGGTGCTTTTCACTCGCAAAGAACTGCACATTGCAACTCACCTAGGTCAGTTCAAAGCTGGAGGGAGGAACCACATGTTCGTGTGCATACAAGAAAGGTACATATTTTGACAGGTACACAGTGAATGCCTATTTGAGAGAGACTAGACCATAAACAAACCTCACTCTCATACACACACACACCCTCCATGCATCCTTTCCCACAAACACACCTAGGACCTGGCTCCTGCTCACGCCCAGATGAATATGCATATGCAAATGAGGGAAAGAAACACAAGGACCGTGACTTCTGCTACCTGTGTTACACCATTCATGCACACATTCCCCAAGACCTGCTTCTCGCAGGCAGAGAGGACTATGCACCCAACACACCTAGGCTACTTTATAGGGAGAGGGGGGAAGAGGGGAGCTGAACTCGGGAGGAAGCTATTAGAGAGCACATCTTTTGCCACAGGTGGCATCAGTATGTGCTGTGTGTGAACACGCACACCCTTTGCACAAAAGCACCTTTAAACCCACAACCTGCCTCCTCCCACCTGTGTGGACATGCAAGCACACCTGTAGGCAGATTGACACACACACACACCCCTGCCAAAACAGCAACAACCCCCACCCCTAGCACATTCCCAAGCATCTTTAAACCCTGGACCCGCTCCTCTTCTAAACTCAGGAATTCCAAAATTCAAGGAGACCTACATTTGCGTGCCTGTTTATGGGTATGAAATCTCGTGTGTATGGGCTGCACCCAGCCTTATTCCTTGCTGAAATGATGGCACAGTTGGACCAACTTAGGCCCATTGAGTGCCTCTGAGGAGACTCCGCTGAGCCCACTGAAGTTACTACGGGCACCACGACCAACCCGGGGCCCATTAATCCCGGTGGATCTCCTCGGAGGAGAACCCCGTTGAAGAAGCGCAGGCCCATGGATCTCAACGGGTCTCCTCTGGGACGGCGACCCGTGGGAGTCAAGGGGCGCCTCGACTGACACAGGCCCATTCATCCCAACCCAAGAGGGAAAGCCTCCCCTGAGGGAAAGTCAGCCGGATGCAACCCGGAAGGGAACACGCGTTATCCCGCTGCTGCACGCGTCGCTCCCTTCACACGAGCGGCGCTTGCACGGTGCCACACGCCTTCTCCCAACCCCAACCCGCAACATCCACACCGAGGAGGCGGCGGCGGCGGCGGCGCTTCTTCTCCTCCTCCTCCTCGCCGCCGTCCGCCCCTCTCCCACAGCGATGGCGGCGTCCCGCTCCGCCTCCATCCTCCGGGGCCCCCCGCCCGGCCCCTCGCCTCCCTCGCTCACCGGGCAGCGCGGCTGGATGGCGAGGCCCGGCCCGGCCTCGGCTGCTCGCTGCCTCCGCCTCCTGCGGCCGCTCCCGGGCCGGCATCGAGCGAGCCCAGCCCGCCAGCAGGAGGAGCCGGAGGGCGGCGGCGGCGGAGGAGGAGGAGGAGGAGGAGGAGCGGGAAGAGGCCGGCCTTCTCCCTCCAGCGAGGCGGGGAAGGCCCTACTCAGAGTAGACCGCCCGCCTTGAAAGGGACGGGCCTCCGCCGCGGGGTCTCTCTCAGCGGCTTCAGGGCAGGGCCGCCCCCCTCCCCTCCCGCGCAGATCCAGAGGGGAAGAATGGGTGCTGCTGGCCCGCCAAGTCCTACTCAGAGTAGACCTCCCTCCCTCCCCACTGAAATGAAGGGGTCGCTTCGCTTTCATGCAAGGGCTGGGGGCGGTGAGAAGGCGGCACAACCTCGGGGGGAAGGCAGGCGGTCTCTCTCAAGGGCTTGCTTCCGAGTAGGCCGCTTGTCAGCCAGGGGATTATTCCTCTTGTTGTTGTTTAGTCGTGTCCGACTCCTGTCAGGAAGCCCCTTTTGCGTCTGACTGACTTTCCCCTCGGAGAAGCTCTGAATGGGGGCCATGAGCGACAAAACGTTCTCTTGAGGGGGAAGTCAGGGCATCTAATGGGGCTTCCTCGCAAGTAAGTGGGGCCACTTACTCAGGAGTCTGTCTTCCCCTTTGGGCGCCCTGACTGGCACTGAGCTGCTCTGAGGGGAAAGCTAGTCAGGGTCAAGGAGGGCTGGGACCTAACTTTGGAGTTATCATTAATTAGTGGGACTTACTTCTGAGTGATTAGCATTATTAATTACATTGTTGTTATTATTACCCTCGCAAAGGCAAGCCCCATTTGGCACCCTGAAGGACTTTTCCCTCAGGCAACATTTTTGTTACTTCTTCTTCTTATATTATTATTATTATTATTATTATCATCATTATTATTAGCTTCCCTGAGAGGAAAAGGCAGGCAGTGAGGACACCGAACGAGGCTTACTTCCCAGTAAGCATGACTCTCAATTGTTGGCAATCAATACCCCTTTTGATTAAAAAAAACAAAGAGGTGCCAGTTCTTTTATCTTTATATAATAAATGTTGTGGGCGCCATCACAAAATGGCTGCTGTCTCTCTCTCACACACAAACACATCTAGAGACGACAAGTGTTTAAAGTGATATTAATCCATCTCACAAGGTTTCATGCATCAGTTATATCTGCATGCATTTACATGAGGGCAGAGGGAGTATTTTTCCCCGTCCCTAGATTGTAAGTTCCTTGAGGCAGAGACTTGCCCTGTCTTTGTAAAGTGCCAGCGGATGGCACAATAAGAATGAATGTTAACAGTAGGCGCCATCTCAGAAGAAATATTCCCTCCTGGGCGAGGGTGGAGGAGGAATGCTTTTTTCCTAACAGGGTGCCTGCCACCCATGGATTTCTCAGCACTGTAATTAAAAACTAATCATCATTTTGTGAAGCCTGTTGCTCAATTCATTAGGGGCATCTCTTTAACCAACTAAAACTGCAGTCCTAGGCACACTTCATTGGGCACACGCAAATTATATCCCCACGAACACTTGCGCAAATTAATCTATTCAAACAATTAATCCACTCGTGTTTCTTCGGTCAAAAGGACAGCCCTGCCTCTTTCCCCCCCATTCTAGTCCCCCAATTCTTTTTGCATCGTATTTCTAGCAACTGTTTTATTTGGGGGAGTTTTGGGTGAACTCGGTGCTTCTGTGCTCACAGAAATGAGGCTGCAACAGGTACGCACCAGGCATTTGAAGCACACACCTTCCCACAAAGAATCATGGGAACTGTAGTTCCCAGCACCCTTAACAAACTTTGAGTATCATTTCAGGGGAGAAAACAGAAGTGGGGAGAGAGGGTAGGATGCCCAGCTTGGGGGAAACAGCTGGCTGGGACCCTGGCCAGGAGCAGTCCTCCCGCTAAAAGATGATGCGCTGCAACGTTTTGTTGCAGCCCCCCTCTTGCACCCTGCTCTACTGTCAACTTTAGACTGAGTTGCTATAACAGGTCTGTCAATGTACAAAACAATAACTGGCCAGGTATGCATTTGATTTGAGAGAGAAGTTATAAACTGGTGTTTCAATCTCAGTTATCAGGGTGGTGTTGTTGTTGCAGACTGTATTGATGAAACAGAGCTGCCAACCATTATGCATCCTATTGTTTACAAGGGTTCTGTTGTATCTGAGGCCATTTTAAAAAGAAATCTATATTGTGATAGGGACTTGATAGCAGAGTATTCTGCATTCGTTAGGAACAAAACCTTTTAATCTCTAGCAGATGTTCCTCATCATGCCATTTTGTTAAGGGGGTCCCCATCTGCACTTCATTTGATAAGGCTTTCTGACTGTTCCCCATGCAGGGATTTGGATCAGGGCCGGCAGCGAGAGTGGCATGCCCAGACTCCTGACAAGGCACTCACTTCAGTTTTGGGGCTCTCTCTGAAAAGCAAAACTTTGACTTCTGCATGCTGGGCCACTTATGCTTTCCTGACACACTTCTTTCTTTTGGTTAACAGGTAACAGATTTTCATGACAGATAATGCAATAAATAGACTCCTCTCTTTCCACGCAAACAGAAAACAATTGTAAATACACAGAGCACTTTTCAACGTTTGTTCCACATAGCAAAGCGTATTGACCTGTTTTCTTTATTGGATGCCAAGTTCAATTAAAATAATAGGGAGATTTCTTTTCTCTTTTTTTAAATGATTATTTGAACAACTTTTCTGCCCTCTAGTGGACTCTGCTTCAAAAGGCACATCCACCTTTGTTTTGGAAGACCAGCATGGGATGAATGAAGAGTGCTCACATTCTGCTGAGTCTCATGCTTAGGTTACATAAGGCTGCAAGTCTAATCCTGCTTACCTGCTGCGCTTATTCAGTAGAGTTACCTCTGAGTAAACGTGGTTAGGACTGGGCTGCTATTCCTTTGAACATCCAGTGGGCAGAACATTTAGGTTCTCTTTTCCAAAGTTCAACTTTCTCCACCAAAATCGATGCTTCTTTTAAAGAGTCTTTCAGATTCCTGTTGGTTGATCTGACGATGTGGACGCTAGCCCATGAGCAGTAAAACTGTTAGTCTTTCGGGTACCACAAGACTCTTGGCTGGTTTTGCTCTTTGGGGTGTTCCTTTATTGCACTGCTCTGAGCAGGTGTCCGAGGGTGTTCATAGTATATTGTCTCTTAGGTGCTGTAGTCTAGTGCAGGAGTAGACAACCCTTTTTCTTCTGCCAAGGCCACATTCCCTTGAAAGCAAGCAATCTGTCAGGGGCCACAAGTAACCAGCAATGGGCATCATGGGAGGAATCAAATCCTGGGATGTGGTGGTTTTAGCAGGTGACCATTGGTGTGAGTTAATTTGGTTTTTAGCCTGTTGTTATTTTAACTGTGTGTATTGAATTATTGCTCTTTTTCTCAAGTGAAAATCTTATTTTGCTCTTTCTTTTGTAAACCATTTTGAGTGGTGGGTTGGCAATGAAATTCAGAGTTGGTTATCAGGAGGAGCACCCGATGCTTCCACAGTGGCTGCCAACACTGTCTACGATGCTTCATCCCCTTCACCCTCCCTTAGACAGGCTCATCTCAAACTGCAGCTCCGGAGTCCCTCCATTAAGCCTGCTGCTGGGTCCAGGCCAAGGAGGTGGGGAGAGGCAGGGCGCCTTTTGTTCAATTCTCTATTGCTCATTTGCCAAAAAACAAAAGCGCTCGCTCAGACGCCAGGCAGAGTGCTGAGGTGGCAGCTTGTGGGCCGCCGCTGGCAATCCCTCTGAGCGGAAGCCACGGGCCGGGCGCTAGGCCCACCTGCCTGCTTCCCAGAGGGGCAGAGAGAGGCCCCTAGAAAATAAGTGACCCCTCTCCCCGGCATCTTGGGAGATTGGCCAGACTTAACTGTTTCAAGGTTCCTGGGCAGAAGGGAGTTCCACAGCCCTAGCCTGGGAGAGAGAAACACAGAATCTTGTGCATCTTTCACAATATCTGGGGGGATGCAAAAAAAGTGATAAGCCATGGTTGTCCTAAAGAACCATTACTCCCTCAAAAGCAGCAGGGGTGGGGGAACTTTTTCAGCCCAAGGGCCACATTTCCCTTCCAAGGGGCCACATACCATTGGTGGGCGGGGCCAGAGCAATCAATGGAAATTTTACCTTTATACAGTAGGCTAGTTTCTGCACCTGCACTCAAGAACCCCTCTCTGCCCTCTATCCAGACAAGCAGGAGGCATTACCAGAGCTCAGTGATTCACTGACTCATTGATGCACTCAAGGAGGGGGCGAATGAGGACTGATGAAGGGTGTGGCCTGGAGAGAGCGGATGTGGCCTGGGAAGAGTCCCAAGGGCCAGACAGAAAGGCCTGCAGGGCCACATTTCTCTCCTGATCTGCAGGTTCCCCGTTCCTGCTCAAAAACAACAACATATCCTGCTTCATGCCAACAGGCTCCAAAACTCAAAACTATTTGCTCCTTTTTCAGATCCTAGCCCAATGCTATTGCAGCTCTCGGCCTGGGATGTGAGTAAGCCCTCAACTTATGTGCATTTAACTTGTGTGCATTCATGCTTTACATGTATGGCAAAAAAAATCAAAGTTTTTAAAACGGGGTGGGGTTCCGGGAAAAATGACTTCAACAGGCCCACCCACCGTTGAAGCCAATGGGTTTTGACTATAAGTGATTTTGGCTTTAGACATGACCCCCGAAATGTAACCCCCATGTAATTTGTGGGCTTGCTGTATAAGATCCCTAACTGTCTCCTTTAGCTAGTGCCCCTTGTTAGTGGCCAAGTTACGTTGAAGCTAAAGGGGGACATGAGAGAGCAGAACAGCCTAGAGGGGTCTGGGTACAACTGGCATAATTCAGGAAATGCAGAATGTGGCATTAGGTACACGATCCCGCTCCCTGAGATTCCCATTCTACGAACCTTCTGGAGCAGAACAACTGCCCATCTAGTCCAGGATCCTTTTCTCACAGGGGCCAACCAGGTGCTCTAATGGGAAGCCTGGAAGCAGGATCTGGGCACAAGAGCCCTCTCCCCTCCTGGAGTTTCCAGCAGCTGGTATTCAGAAGCATCGCTGCCTCCAGCTGTGGAGCCGGAGCATAGCTTTCGTGGCTAGTAGCCATCAGTAGCTGTCTGCTCTATGACTTCTTCTAAAGCCATCTAGGTTGGCCATCACTCCCTCCTGTGGGAGGGAGTTCCTTAGATGGGTGCTGTGCTAAAAGTTCCCCCTTCTGATTTCCCCCAGACACTAGCCAGGCATTCCTGCAGGCGGCCCCCACCCTGGGTGGGTGATGGGCGATTGGATGCACCCTCAGCCAAGAATGCAACTTGGACGGGGGAAGCGAGCCGTTGAAATCTCTGGGGATCAAGGGAGGCTCAGTGGCAGAGAATGCATCGTGCTGACCACAGCTCAAAGTTTGCCCGGTGCCTATTGGGACGCTGGCCCTATATAAACAAACAGGGACGGTCCAGGCAGCAGGGCGGCCCATGGAGGAACTGTCACCATTCAGCGAGCGAGGTGAGTCACTCCAGAGAAAACCCCCCTTCCCCAAATTCTCTCCCCCGTCTGGACTTTATTCATCAAGACCGAGACTCCTGTCCGGAAAGAAATCCTCCAAACAGGCTGTCTCTTCAATTGAACCCCCCCCCCCCATAATTAAACTGGAGGAAAATGGCAGGTCTTGGACAATCTATTTGCATTGCATTGCATCGCTATCTCACCTCTCCTCCTCAGAGCTCAAAGTGGTGTATGTGGTTCTCCCCCACCCCATCTTATCCTCACAACAACCCTGTGGGGTACGTTAGGTTGAGAGAGGCAGTGAACTGGCCCAAGGTTGCACCCAGGGAGCTTTGTGGCTGAGTGGGGATTTGAATCCTGTAATCACTACACCATGCTAGCTCTCAACTGAGGACAGAGGTAGCTAATAATAATAATTTGCACCTCCACTGCCCTACTTTGTGCATTTTTGTAGGTGAACTGACCTACTTCTTAACTTTGCGGAAAAAATACGCAGATCGAAACGCAGCCATTCTTTGAGATTTGCACATCTCTGAATTTTGTGATGCTGTTCTCCAACTGAATAATGCCTATGGGGGAAATGTACATTTAAAAATGAATATATTAATGAAATCAATGTATTAAAATGGTAGGGGAAATCACGCAAAAAAAATGTGCCTATCAGGCAAAACTGCATGCAAGAATGCGTATTTGGAAAAATTGGCACTAAAACTCTGATGGATTTCACAAGAACTTAAAAAATAAATAAATGCTGATGCAGAAATTAGAATCCGAAACTGACAGATGAGTCCATGCCTATCTGCACCACTGTCCCATTTTGGAACACAAACTGAGGGAAGAAACAGGAAAAGCCATCCAGTCACAAACTGTACAAACTTGCACCTCTGTTCATTTCAGGTGAGGTGGGAGCCTAAATTTCCTTTTGGGGTTTAGAAATCTACGTTGTGGGTTTGGGGCCCCTCATCTGCCAGACACTGCCCTCTCCTGGAAGCACTTGTGTCTGCAGCAAGGACGAACCTGAAAGGACCTTGCTGTCAAAATGGGCATCTATGCAGATTTTGAGACAAGTTTGATGTCCCTGTTTTTTCTTTCCCTTAGAACTCAGCCACGCAGCCAAGATGGCACAAATAAACCCTCAACCGGCGCAGGTGGGCACGTGGAAGGTACGTCCCGGTGGTTAAAACGCAGGCAGAGAGCCACAAAGACTCCTGTGGCAATGCAAAGACTGGCAGATTTCTTGCAGGGGGTTGGAATAGGTGACCCTTCCAGCTCTACAATTCTGTGGATTATGCTTTCATGGCCAGGGTTGGCTTTAAGTTTGAGGGGGCCTTGGCCAAGGGGCAGCCTGGTGCCCTCCTGGCCTCCTGCTCCTTGTGGGCATATCTGGTCCCGATGGGTTCCAGCAACAGGCAGCAATTCCATCAAGGAAGAATGATTTCTAGCCAGGCAAAAACACTGAAGGAAGGGCAGGGAGGGGCGTGGCCTGGAGGGAGGGGTGTGGCGAGGGAGGAGGCGTGGCCCAGGAAAAGTTCTGAGGGCCAGCCAGAAAGGCCTGGAGGGCCGTATTTGATCCCCAGGGCTGAGACTCCCCATTCCTGGCCTAGGGGTCATTTTCAACCAGAGCAAAGAGAGAGTGTGGAAGAGAGATATTTAAACTGGCCCTCCTGTGAGGCAGAGAGATGCTGTCTTTCAAGGGCAGCAAAAGCAGGTCCTTAAAATTTCCCTCTTTGGAAAGTGGGAGCCCTCGCCCTGCTCTGCCTGACGCTGTCACTCTCTTGCAGATCACTGCCTACGATCAGGAGAACTTCCAGGGCAAACGGATGGAGTTCGCCACCTCCTGCCCCAGCATCGTGGAGTGCAGCTTCGACAACGTGCGCTCGCTCAAGGTGGAAAGTGGCGCGTGAGTACAGGGGATAGTGGAAAGCAAGAAGTCAGGGTTCAGAAGAAGATAAGAAGAAAGAGTCTGCCAGATCAGGCCAGTGGCTCATCTGAGTCCAGCATCCTGTTCTCACAGGGGCCAGCCAGAGGTCCAGCTGGGAAGCCTTCAAGCAGAGCCCTCTGCCCTCCTGCGGTCCCACCACTGTGGGTCACACGGGCCCCCATAGCAAGTGCCCTCCTGTTCTCAGTCACATGTTCCAAAACCGCCCAGCCCACCTGAACCCACAAAGGCCCTCCTCCAGAGCCCGCAGCCTGCAGGAAACATAGCCTTGGTTTGATTTGATAAAGGTGGTTCCCTGAGCCACGTACGGCAAGGGTGAAGTTCATTGGACATCCCCATCCTTGTCCCATTTATATGCCACCTTTTGATTTAAGCTTCCAAGGCATCTTAAACAACACAAAAGGGTGCTTCCAGGCTGTTGTGGATCCAGCAACCTGCTGGTAAATTGGGGGTCATCTAATTAGAGCTGATTATGTGGCCCTGTGCAAGAAACTGGCTCCCCCCCCTATAAAAATGGATCCCCCCCCCTCTTTTTTGAAATAAGGAAAGTGATGAGGAAATGCACTGGAAAGCGTGGGACGGATGCTTGCTTTGGCTTCCCTGCAAACAAATCAGAATAAATGTCTATTAAATAGCCAACGTAGCATCTGATTTCCCTGGAATTTCCTGGAGCACTGTGGTGTTGCCTCTTTTGTGCAAGTTTCCTTTATGTGTTTATTTATATCTTTCATCTCCTTACCTGACCCTGCTCACTTTCTTTCTTTCTTTCTTTCTTTCTTTCTTTCTTTCTTTCTTTCTTTCTCTCTCTCTCTTTCCATTGTTAGAATATTTTGTTAATCTCATTATACATTTAATATATATTTTTTAAAAATCATATGGGATAGTATGCCAGAATGCATAACTTGCTTGAAGGAGTCCAAGGGTTGAAACGGTGTAAGCCAGGGCCAGCCCACCCATGAGGCAAGGCGAGGCGACTGCCTAAGGCAGCAGGGTTCATAGAGGAGCAGATCCAGCCTCTAAGGAATGCATTGCCCACTACTGCTGCTGTTGCTGTAGTGACAGCAGTGGCTGCTGCACGCTCCTTGGAAGCTAGATCGGCCACCTCCTTGGCACCCCCCTTCCCAAATGCTACCTCTGCAGTGGCCTCTGGGGGAATAGGAGGTGCTGCTTGTCTCCCCCCACCCATGGGGAGAGAATGGTGGGGGCTGCCCTCAGGGCCTTTGATTCCCACAGCTGGCATCAGCTATGGTTGATATGATTCCCTACCTTGTTCCCAATGTAGATTTTCACCCATCTCTTCTTCCCTGGACGGGGGGAGGCACCATTTTCTGGTTTGCCTCAGATGACCAGATGTCTTGGGCTGACCCTGGCGCAAGCAGCTCCTGAAAGCACATCCATCGGGCCGTATTGAGGCTAATAAAAGATAGGCTGTTGGACTGATGTTCCATCACAATTCACCTTGTCCGTACTGCTGCAATATAGGCTGCCTAAAGTCCTTCTGAAAACATGGGGTTGCCCTTTTCTCCAGCCCGCAGGGTCCATGCCTTGTGCACTCTTAACGAATCAGCGTTCTCAAAGAAAACTCCAGGTGCACCTCCCTTTTGCTCTTGTCTTCCCTGCCATCCTCTTGTGTGCTGCTGCTGATTGCAATTTCAATTAAAAATATAATGAAAATAATCTCCCTGCAGGGTGGATGCTTAATAAACAGGTTGTCAGGAAGGGCATGAAATTAAAAACGGCACCTAAAGGGGAGCCTATGACAGAAACACACGCACACACATGAAGCAGTGAAAAGCTGCCGTCTTAAAAAGGACAGTTAAAATATCCCAGCTGTTGCCAGGGAGGTCCCCTGAGGTGACCAAGTTGGGGATTCCCAGGCCAAAGGAAAGTATTGAGAAACCTCCCTTTACACAAGAGGCTCATGCATAGCTGACTGGGGCAGGTCAAGAACCCAGCCCCAGAATCAGACCAGTCCAGGGCTACCCACAAGGCTATATTTAGGCTGAATAACGAGAACCGGATTATCACTTCTTTGAGGGCCCGTCGCTCAGCCGTCCTGCTGTGGGGCAGACCACCCTCTCCGCCAGTGGGATAAAACGAGGGCATGTGATGCATACCCTCTGAGTGTCCTGATTTTCCAGGGACAGTCCCGGAAGTACAAAGCCATCCCAGCTTCTGATTTGACCCCAGAATATCTCCTTTTCCCCTCCAGTACCGCCAGTGCTGAGCTCAGGGAGTATGATGTGCCGACGCTTGTCCTGAGTGGTGCCTGTGAGGAAGCATCCTGTTGCCTCTTCAGGGCCTCTCCATGGCTGCCTCCTCCCTTGCGCAGCTCGTAGCAGCTGCTGGAGAGCAGGCAAGGAGGAGAAGAGGCTACCACCAACAAGGCCCAGCCCTGTGCCACATGCCGGCTCTCAGGGGTCGGCAGAGGGCAGGACCGCCCTGGGCAGCAAGAAGGGTGCAGCGCAAGGAGCCTTGGTTTTGTTAATTTAAAAAATGCTTTGTGTGTCCACATCGAATATTACCCCTTTCTAAAATGTATTTATGGCTGTGTGTTTTTCTTCTTGCAAATCTACCAAAGAATAAAATAAGATCAGGACTAAGGGGTTTTCTCAGGACAGTGGAGGGCCTGTGCACTGTGCTCCGTTGGTGTCGTGGGGGTGGCACTCGCTCTGGGTGGGGGGACCAAAATTTGGGGGGTCGAGGAGGGTGGGGAGTGAGCAGGGACGCGGACTTATAAAAAATATTGGGGGGGCCCGGGAAAGCTCATGAATAATAAATAAGCTCATGAATATGCAAATAAAGTGCGCCGCCTCCTCGTGAGCGAATAGGGGAGAGCGTGCTGCGCCTCTTAATCAGCTCCAAAGGAAATTGGGTGGAGCTTTTGCTCGGGAGGGAGGGCAGGAGGCATGCAGCCCGCCCCTCCCTGTGCATTTTGGGGCTGGGGGAGGGCGGCGATGGCGCTCTGCTGGAGGGGCGCCGGAGATTATTGGGGGGGGCGGAGCCCCCCCAAACGAATTTTTGAGGGGGCTCGGGCCCCTCAAGCCCCATGGAGTCGGCGCCTATGGGAGTGAGAAATGCCCCTCTTTTCATCCAGGGAAGGTGTGGTGATGTGGTTCCATGCTGAGCGTCTCCTCCTTCCTCTCTGCAGCTGGTTTGGCTATGAGCACACCAACTTCTGCGGGCAGCAGTTTGTCCTGGAGCGCGGAGAGTATCCCCGCTGGGAGGCCTGGAGCGGCAGCAACGCCTACCATGTGGAGCGGCTGATGTCCTTCCGCCCCATCTCCTCCGCAGTAAGTTCCTTCACCTTTGCCGCGTGGCATTATGCAAGGACCACAATCGCAGGCCTGTTAAAACGAGACCTCTCTGGAGAAAGAACCAGCTTTCCCAGTTCAGGAGGCAAGCGTTCGGGTTTCACAGAACTCCTTTTTGAGCCGCATGCAAACTTTCAAGCTTCACAGAGTTATTCTTTAGCATAAATAAATAAATAAGATTCTTGGGAGGTTTTTTAAAAACAAAGTTGCCTAATAATAATACCATCTCCAGTCCAGAGATTGGGGTGTGTCGGGAGGTGTGAGTTGAGTTTGTTAATTTAGTTTACATGGGCAGAGTACAAATAAGATTCTTAATCATAATTTATAAACTGCTTAATATTGTAAAAAAATATTTAAGTGATATGCAAGCTGCTGAAATTCTGCAAAAGGGTAAAACTGGAGTTGTTTTTACTTCTTGCTGTAGGGGTGAAAAGGCTTAAGGCCAGCCCTCTTTGGACCCCGCCCCCCCAGGTTAGGAATTACAACATCATGACTTTTCAAGTTAAATTAAAACTGCTGCAGAAGAGGCGTATCAACAGCTTTTAGGCAGACAGGCTAAGAGGGTTCAGTCCCAATGGGTCCAAAACTGGGAGAGAACAATAGAGGGCCTGGGCAGCTGAAGCCACGGGCAGCCCCTGCCTGACACATAGTGTCATGCACAGATGGCATCTTACCCCAATATTATTGTCCCGCATCTCAGGCCCCTTGAGCCCTGTGTGCTGGAGGGGCTGTGGAGTCACGGGAACATCCCTACCTTTATGGTGGCAGCGCGAAGTTGGCATCCTGAATTTTGGGCAGGTGTTTTCACTGAAAAGAGGGCTGCTTTGCTCTTTCCTCCACCCCCCCAGAGCCACAAGGAGTCCAAGATCACCCTTTACGAAAAGGAGAACTTCATGGGGCAGCCGTGGGAGGTCCATGATGACTACCCTTCCCTGCAGGCCATGGGCTGGAACAACAGCGAAGTGGGCTCCATGAAGATCCACTGTGGCGCGTAAGTGGGGGGCAATGGCAGGAGACGCCTTCTGAGCCAAGACGTGAGGCCAGGGAAGGGTGCCGTGCGGGCATGCCAGCTCCAGGGGGCCAAGGTGTCTTCGGCCCCCTCCATATTTGTTTGAAGGGGACCTGGCCCCCTCAATGTTGAGGACACAGCATTGCGGAAGGCAGCACTGTCCTGCACACTGCCAGGAGATGAGTGTGATGTCATGCGCGTGCAACATGACCCCCTTAATCTTCGGGAGAGCTGGCGCCTCTGCCCCAGACGTGCCAAGATGGCCTGACCCGGGGTAGTCAACCTTTTTATACCTACCACCCACTGATGCATCTTTCTTGAGGGTAAAATTTCCTTACCGCCCACCAGTGCCCGATGGAAGGAGGGTTCTGCTTGTGCCGTAGAACCCCCTACAGCCCACCGAGAATCCTGAAACGCCCACTAGTGGGCGGTAGGGACCAGGTTGACAACCCCTGGCCTAACCAAACTGCCCTAGAAACAAGCAGGCAAACAGCACTTTCTGCACCTACCAGGGATTTGCAACTGGGTCACACACACACACACACACACACCTGGTTGCTGATTCCTGCATTTCAAGGGGTTAGACTGGATAATTATTATTATTATTATTATTATTTATACCCCGCCCATCTGGCTGGGTTTCCCCAGACACTCTGGGCAGCTTCCAACACAATATTAAAATACAGTAATGCATCAAACATTAAAAGCTTCCCTAAACAGGGCTGCTTTCAGATGTCTTCTAAAAGTCTGGTAGTTGTTCATCTCCTTGACATCTGATGGGAGGGTGTTCCACAGGGCGGGTGCCACTACCGAGAAGGCCCTCTGCCTGGTTCCCTGTAACTTGGCTTCTCGCAGGAAGGGAACCTCCAGAAGGCCCTTGGAGCTGGACCTCAGTGTCTGGGCAGAACGATGGAGGTGGAGACGCTCCTTCAGGTATACTGGACCGAGGCCATTTAGGATGACCGGGGGGGGGGCGGAATCCCTTCCAACTCTACAGTCGAAGGATGTGGAGGGATAGCTGTGCTCCCTGGACAGCTCTTCATGGCCCCAACTGGGCAACTCAGCTTTTGTATCTCTCCGCAACTCCTCCTCTGCAGGTGGGTTTGCTACCAGTACCCCGGCTACCGCGGCTACCAGTACATCCTGGAGTCCGACCACCACGGCGGAGACTACAAGCACTGGCGGGAGTGGGGCTCTCACGCCCAAACCTTCCAGATCCAGTCAGTCCGGCGCATCCAGCAGTAGGCCTGAAGGCAAGTGCGTGCACACACACACACCCTGGAGCAGAGCGTCAGGGCTGCAAGTTGCCAGCGCAGAAGGGAGGGCTCCGTTTTTCACCCCACCTCCCCCCAGTTCCCCACACAGGTGCTTAAACCTCTCTCCCCCCCCCCCACCCCTTGGTCCTCTTGGGCCGGGGGAATCCTTCTCTCCAGCATCTTCCTTGCTGCCACAAAGAGGAAGGAAACACCTGGGAAGGAAGTGTGTGTGTGTGAAGCAGGAAGCACTTTGTACATGCTCTGGTGTCAACGTGTTTGCGCAAGATGCACAGGGCACTGTAGGCAGGCAGAAAGACAGCAGCCTAATGTTCCCTGCATGCTTAAAAATAAAGCCAGGCTTGTTCTCAAAGCATGAGTCATTTTGTATGATTTACATTTTACGTGACCGAAAGGTGCGGTCAAATCATGTTTTGGAAACCTTAAAAAAGCACCTCCCTCTCTGGCTTGGGACAGCAGTAGGCTCCACCCATCGGCGCATATTCTCAATTACAGTATTGAGGGCTAGAAACTTCCGCTATTTAAAAACACACATGGAAGGCGGGAGTCTTGTGAAACATCCGGCATCCACTCTAGCCTTCTATACAGAAGTGCAGCTTATTTCAGACAATACACCCAAGGGTCTCTTGAGCGTAGATTTTGCCAACTGCAGAGGAGCTACACAAAGTCACCCTTAGATGGGGCTCAGACACTAGTAGGAGCCTCTTAAGCCAGGTGTGAAGAACCTACACAGCTCCAGATGTTGGGACTGGCATGGCTATATGGGAAGGTGGGAGGGAGTCCAGCAACATCTGGGAGACTATGGGGTGGAAGGGAAGGAGGGGGCAGGAAGCAGAGCTAGGAGGCAAAATGTTTTTCCCCACCCCCAATGAGATACTGCTTTGTTTGCAAAGTTCACCACAGCACCATTGGCCAGCCATTCTCCTGGAAACAGAAATTCTATCTTATTACCTCCAACATCACCACCCGAATGGTATAATTACCTCTAGTGAAATTATCACCAAGAACAGGACTGGTTGGAAAATCATAACTGAAAAACAACGGACACATGGAAACTTGATTTTTTTTTTTTTTATTGAACATTTTACATCATGTAGCATCTCTTAATTTATTTTGTTCTACAACCATCTCTCTCCATTTTTAGTTTTCTTCATTAAAATATAAAATAGATTCTTTTTAGTGGGAGGGGAAGTTTTAAGAACTGTTGTGGAATAGCATTTTTTTAAAAAGGGAGGGAGGGAGAAGCTGAGATTTTGCTTCCGTTAAGTGACAAAACTGACCTAGCCTGAGCAACAGCATGGAGACGGATTGATGGACTGGTGAAATTTGGCTGGTTCTGGGTCTGTCACCCCCACTGCAAACCTCCTCAGCAAAACCCACCAGTTCCTCCAGTCTGAGAAGTAGTGCCCTTTTTGCAGCTGGGCGCACAGCCCATTCCTATCCACCGTGAAACATTTGGAGAGAAGGAGAGGGGAAACGGCAAAATGCTCTGGCCTTTTGGCCAGAAATGTCTCTCCAGTCTTGGTGTTACGGAATAAGAGAGCTCTAAGCAGGTGGATTTTTTCCTCTTGAAGAACAGGGAGTATCTCACACATACAATCTAGGCCAGTCTGCCTCGCTTTTTGACCCAGTTCTTTGCAAAGCACTCGGTGGTATTTTTCAGGTCAAGTGGTCTCATGTTCTGGGACAGAAGCAAAAATAAAGCCCCCCCACCCCCCACAAGGTCTTGCTCTACTGCAAAATGGCCAAGCAGGAAAGGTGAGAGTGCAGTCATTGTGTGCCAGTGCTGTGACATCTCAAGATTTATATTAATAAGGTTTGTGGTTCAATGGGAAATAAATGAAGCAGCAAGTCAGCCCCCCCCCCCGAGTCTGAAGCGAACCAGGCAAGTGTTGGAACCAAGTTTTCAAAGACCCTGTTTCTGGGGTGGGGTGGAGTGGGGGAGATGAAACAGGAAGGAGACTGAGAGGGTCACTGCAGAAGATGCAGACAGACTCTTCAGAAAGGCAGTCCCCAGCACTGCCACTTTCTCTTCACTTCTGCACTTTGCAGAATAGGTTGCGGTCAAAAGGGCAAGAGATCCGTGCAAAATATTGAGGGCCAAGGTGGTGTCAGGCTTCCCAAAATTCAAACACCCTCCCCCCCCCCCAATCACATATGTAAAAGATTAAGTTACAGGTAGGTAGCCGTGTTGGTCTGCCGTAGTCAAAACAAAATAATTTTTTTTCCTTCCAGTAGCACCTTAGAGACCAACTAAGTTTGTTATTGGTATGAGCTTTCGTGTGCATGCACACTTCTTCAGATCCACGCACACGAAAGCTCATACCAATAACAAACTTAGTTGGTCTCTAAGGTGCTACTGGAAGGAATTTTTTTTATAAAAGATTAAGACACTGAACTATGAGCGTTTGCAGATTCCAAAACGGTTTGCGTTTCCCCTCCCTCTCCAGGAAGGGCAGAGGGACTTAAGGCAGCTCACCAACAGCAGTCAAGGACAAAACTTAAAAGATAAGATTTGGAGCTGTACATTTAAATGGGCCTTGAAGGACAGGAAGGAAGTTTGGAGGGCAGGCACCTCAGCAGACAAGAGGCAGAAAACAGCAGCTGTGACTTAAGTTGGGGAGCTACCCCAACATCAGGATTTAGAAATCACACAGAACTGGGGAGCAGGGAGAGAGGCCACCAGAAACTGATTCATCAGAATACAAGAGAATGCCCCCCCCCTTTAACACTTCAACACACAACACAGAAACACCCGCTTCTCAGAGGCACTCTGAACTTGCAATCCTTAAGACATGCTTCGCTAGAGAGTCCCGTGGAACTAGCAGAGATGTGCAGCAGATCAGCTGGTGGGGAAGGAAAGAATTTCCCAGAAATTGTGCCGTTTTATTTTGCCCACTTTTAACCGCTCCGACACTCACCAAATGGTGCTTTGGCGACAACCAAATGTGCAAAAGCCATTGGAATAATAATCATCAATGCATGCAAAGGTGTCCCACTCTGTATGCATCCATTAGGAAGTGCCTGCTGGTCCAGCAACCTGTTCTCACAGTGGCCAACTAGATGCCGGTGGAAAGCCTGCAAGGAAGACCCAAGCCCAAAAGCATTCCCCACCCGCCATGCACCTGGGAACCCATATATAGGGTGGGGGAGGCAGGAAAGAGAAAACCAAAATTATGCCGTGGAGGGGTGTTTAATTCCGCAGATCATTATGTCAAGGATGCAAGCAATTAGTGTCTCTCCAGGTTTCATTTCAAATGCAAAGTGCATTTTCCTTCTTTTCTCTAGTTCCCACCCTGAAAAGCAGCCACCTGACCAACTGAATTAAGAGCCTGCACGGAAAGATGGGCTCAGAAACTGTATTAGATGTTTAATTTAGATGCACACCACTCTGTAGCAAGCAAAGAGAGATGTAAACCTACACCTCCTGGATTCCAAAACATGTTTTCTCGTTATACAGGATGCCATGTTTCTTGCCCCAAAACACAAGAGGGAGGGAGGTAACTCACGTTGGTTAAGAAAGCCACCTTCTTGGATGGAAATCTGTGTGCAAACAAATCCCAGTGGCAAAGAAAAATACTCTGGAGACTCTGCAAAGGGGCATCAGGTGCCCCTACAAAGCTTGAGGACTACTGGCATGAAGAGGGGGTGCCAATGAAAGTGTTGAATGGTCACCGTAAAATGTGAAGGTTCATTATTGTTTCACAAGTTGTGTATGTCTTTAAGGGCCAGGGCAAATAACGAGACCCAGTCTTGCAGCCGTGAAACATAGCAGGCGCTGCTAGGTTGTGTTAATTAAGCTGTGTCAGCATTTGGGCATAGTATATAAAGAGCAGCACCTAGCTCTCTCATTACCCTGGGGGGTGGGTTGGTGGTTGGGTCATGTTTGTTGTGGTTATCTTTAGTGTAAAAGGAGTTTTTGTTTTTTTTATTAAAACCTTGTTAAAGTTATTTTTGAGTTCCTTGTTATGCATGGTCTCCCCAGCAAGCTCTCTGCAGCGCTACTAAACCCCAAATAGCCAACAGAAAGAACTAAAAAGTACGGCAGAACTAAAAACTAAAAAGAATGAGCAGGCAGGCAAAGAACAAACAGATCAGTGGAGTGCCACACACACAAACCCAATTTGTGTATTGAAGGATGAGGGTCAGAAACCTGGAGGGTAGGAGATCACATCCAACATTCCTCCCCATTATTCATTTTTTTAAAAGACTTTGACCATGAAGAGGCTGTGGAAATCTTCCCCAGCACCTTGCCAGCTCTGGAAAAGGTTTGGGCTCCACCAGCCTGGACTCTGAAGCCAGGCCAGAAGCTTCAGGAATTTGGGGGGGGTCGAGAAAAGACATCTCAAGAGGCTCTGGAACTAAAATGTAGTTGGTTGGTTCAATCAATCAACCAACCAACCAACCAATCTCCACCTATCATGTTAGTGGTCAGCAGCATGTCCTACCAGCCTCAGAAGCCAGCATGGCCATGGTCAGGGAGGACAGAAGTCCCACCAGCATCCTGGATTGACAAAGATTCCCCGTATCAGTGACAAGATTGATGCCCCAGAAACAACCCCCGCCCAGATCTGGAGCTCTGCTAGGAGAGAGCAGAGTAACTACGCATTACTTGTCACGATGCAAGAAAAATAACAAATTATCTTAATCCAAGCGACCATGCATGGGAAGGTGATCTGAAGCAATACTGGTGAATGAATTGCAAAAAGTATTTTCCATGCTACTCCTCTGGCCCCCCCACCCCCACCAATAATACTTTTAGAATGTTGCTTGGCAACAGGAAAGAAACCAAGAGTGACAACAATAGGATGTGTTTGCATCTCCATTCAAGGCTAGACTGGTTCATTGCATTTGGCTATGGGGCTTCCTCCCATCACCGCTCCCCCCGCCCCCCACTGAAAACAGGAAATATTCTACACTTTCCAAAGAGGGCTTCACACACCAGAGCAGTTGTCATAAATGTGGGGGCGCCCAGGGTTGCAAAGGTTGCATTGCTTAAGGACACAGGAGAATCAAAAACTGTGTTAAAACTGACAGCTCCATGGGAACCCTGGAGAACTTCCCTTGATACCCTTGCAACAAGCTAGCAGTTTCCAAGGGAAAAGCGGTGGCCGTTAAATGCATTTTGAGAGCCATTTTGTTTTGCTTTTAAAGTTCGGCATCTTTGGTAGCCCTTGGTGCAAAAGCAGTCTCCTGAGGGCCTGGAAGTCTTCAAATTTAAGCAAGCCTTAAGAGACACCCCTCTTATTGTATTTTTGGCAGAGATTTGCATTCGCAGGTTCAGCACCTCACAGCCTGATGAGAAACATCATCATATGCCGAAAGAGAACCCCTTAGCAAATAAATTTTTTTAAAAGCTTTTAATGAGCCTTGTGCCTTCCTGACATTTTGGACTACGAGTGCCACCAGCCTCGGCAGCTGATGGGAGTTGTAGTCCAAAACATCTAAAGGGTACCAGGCTGGGGAATTATTCCAGCAGCTTTCCCCCCTCCCAAAAAACCCCCCACCCACCCCTGTCCTTGGTATTTGCAACACCTACGAAGTTTGTTTTTATGATAACTATTTTATAATTTTAAAAAAGAGTGTCAAGCAGGCTGCACTATCTTCCCAGCACTTGAACGGGAAAGGGCAGCCAGTCGCTGGGAAGGACAGGAAATCTGCAAAAGCTTATATGTAATGTGGAGTCCCGTCCTGTCCCCCCCCCAAAAATGATACGGATTTCAAAAACCCATCAAGGCCGATAAGAGAAGCGGAGTTAAGAGAACAATCTAGCCAGGTACAAAGCATGGTGCTCAACAGGAATCGATATATTTGCCACTGCCTGAAAAAGCCACCAAGACCTTTGCTCTTCGGAAATGAGAGATCTGCAGCGTCGCAAGAGACCAGGGGTGGCTGGGTTTTGTAGGCAGCACACAAACTCTCTTTCTGGGACTCCCGCCACTGCCCCTCTCTCCTCTAGAAGCAAATTCCCTGCTGCAGAGGTGATGAGCCTGTGGTCCGCCCAGAGATGCTGATGGACCAGTTCCAGTCTTCCCTGGCCACACAGGTGGCTGGAGCAGGCAGCTACAGAGTGTACACACACACCTGGCTTAGCAATACACAACAAGTCTCATAGACAGGAGCTAGTAGGGCAACTTCAGGGACCAAGCAGGACAGAAGGGCCTGACTTTCTGGGGATGCCAACTCTGGTTTAGAAAGTGGTCCATACGCCTCCGAACAGACCAAATTCCTAGGCTCAAGCAATGCAGCACAGAGAGGCCTGGGGTTCCCCCCCCAACATCTTTTGTCTCCCATAGACTTGCACATATTGGGGGATGGAGAGCTGGTTGTAGGCAAAGCAGATCAACGGAGCCACAAACGAGAGCTGGAGAACTCTGGCTGGAAGCTAGAAACTTGTCGGTGCAAGTAGTCTCAATTTCTGTTTATTTTTTTAAAAAAATTCTACAGGTTAGCCAAGGGAACGGCATCTCAACAGCCTCCTTTGTACATTTTTATCATCTCTGTGGGAGCATCCGGCTGCGATGCAAACACAACACCTGTGCCCCACAGCGAATTTGCTGGCCCCGATCAAAATATTTCCAGGGTAATGTCCAATAGATAAATCCACTCTCTTCCAGCAAGGCCACATCCTGTCCTATTCCCACCCCTTTCCCCCAAATACTGACAACCAGAGAGAAGGGGATTTAGAGAAAATGGGGGGGTGAACACCTTCTCCCCCCTCCAGGCACATCACACAAAGCCATCTTGCAAGCGGGGAGGTATCACCTGAATTCTCTCCTCTGCAGCTAAGAATAGGTTTGCAGTTCCACCTTGGGGGCCACATGCGTTGAAAAAGAAACTAAAACCTTGACTCTCCTGCCCCCCATTAAAGATGGTGGGCTGTATTGGGAGGAAGAACCGGCGAGTCACACTTGGACACATTTTGCCTGTTATTTAGATTACGGCACGGCTGCTGCGGAAAACCTTTGGATCTGCTGGACTACAACTCCCATCAGCCCCCAGAAAGCATAGCTGATGGACAGGGAGGATGGGAGTTGGAGGCCCAACAATGCTCTTGTTAAGACACACCAGCTTCCCCAGATGTTCCAGACTACTACTCCCATCAGCATGGGAGCCTTAGCGCAGCACATCTGGAAGGCGCCCGGTCGGCAGAAGATCGGTCCGTGTATTAAAAGCATCCCTTCGTGTGCTGCCATCAGGAGCAATGGGCCCTCTGAGCGTAGCCAAACTACGACTCCCAACATCCCTGGCCACACTGTCTGGAGCTGATGGGAGTTGTAGTTCAGCAACACCTGGAGGACTGAAGGCTCCCCACGTTGGGGCTCCATCCCTCACGGCTCAACTCCCCCCCCCCCACGTCTCTACACACAAATAAAACCGAGGGAGAGACTAAATTCTTATTAAAGAATGTCGAGAACCTTGTGAAGAGAAAACCCCCCTCAAAAAATGGGAAGGTTTAAGGGGGCTGGGGGGGAGTTTGGGGAGGAGACAGGAACATGGCACCCACAAATAAGAGGACACCCCCCCCGACATCTTACGAGGCCGATCAGAGGAAAGTCACTAGGCAGCAACACACCAGCCTGGGCTGGAAACTGGTCAAACCCCCAATGGGATCTGGAGGGGGGCCTTATTTTAATTTTAAGGGTGGAAATTTAGTAACAGAATGGAGAAGGCAGCTGTTAAAAGGAAAAAAGGAGGGAAGAACACATCTAGGAAAATGTGTTTTTTGGGGGGGGGAGAAAAAAAGCTAGCGTTCTTTAAAAAAGGGCTTCACTTGCCAAGCTGTTTGAAACTCTTACGGCATTGCTAATGAATTTGGAAACTTGAATTTGCTTTGTTCATTGTCAATGCGAGGGTCGACTTTCTCTCCCTATACAGCTGTCGTCGTATCTTCCTTCGTTCTACACCTTTCTCAGACAGCCAGTATCTATGGAAAACAAGCCCAGACTTTGCTGTTAACACTTCTATCTATGGCTGAAATGAAATATATGTATAAAGGTACCCTGAAAAGGACTTTTACTTTCCTGGTGTGAAGATAGGAATAAGGTTCTGGCTGCTGAATGAACCTTTTCACTTCTACTAACTAAATTTGTATTGTATAAAACTCACAGATGTATTTTTATACCAGTTGTTTAACACTTCAACTATGAAATTTTATTAAATTCACAGGGTTGCTTTAAAAAAGGGGGGGGGGCTTCACTTTAAGATTTATTTTACTTTTTTGGCCAAGAGCAACTTGCAACAGAAGCATCCAAGTTGGGCTTTACCCTCTCTTTCTTAAAAAGGCATTTTAAAAGGACACACCAGTAGTTTTAAGGATAGAGGCAGTGGAGGTCTGAGCAGGGCAGGGGGCTGAACTGGGGCGTGCCCCCCTCCTCAACACCTATCCCCCCCCCCACAAAAAATGGGCCACACTGAAGCAAGATGTACCCCCAGCACCACCAGATCTTTGTTGAGTCCACTCTGGGGAATTCTCAGAAGAGCAGACCCCCCCTTCCATGGGGCACCCAGGAATTGATTTGTTTTTGGGCCAAACCCGTTCACATAAAGGGGGGGCTCCCGCCTATCGGCGCCTCAAAAAAAAAACACAGCACGACCGCCTTGCCAATCTCCACAGCTTGCCCCCTTGGCAGCCCCACCCCCCCAAATTTGGATTTCTGCAAAAGGCAAAAAAATAATAATGACTTTATTAGAGCTTTCGACGCCACACTTGCAACCTCTTTCCGTTTCTGCTCTTGCGGTGAAAAGCTGGGGGTGAGGGGGGAGCAGAAGCAAAGCCCAGATCAAAATAAAAATGAAAATAGACAGCGGAAATCCATTAGAACAGGCCTCCTGATGTCCGGACCATAAAAAAAACATGAATTGCCTGAGGGAAATGAGCTGGGGGGATAGTAAAAGGTAAGGCCTGCTGGGTTGTTTTTTTTTTCCTTTTAGAAAAACAAATTCCCAGATAGGAGTCGTAACACACACACACCCCGGCGTTATTTAGAAAAGTTAGCAAAGGGCGGAGGGAAGAAATCACAATTTCCTTACGTTTCCAGCTTTGCAACGGAGGACTGACGGAGAACAGAAAAATGAAAGGATCATCCAGGGGGAGAAAAACTCAAGAGAGTACCTACAGGCTGAACAAACTGCTTCGCTGGCTTCTTCCTGGGGATACAGTGCCAAGCGGCAGGAACGGCAATTTTAACCCCCCCTGCCTTTGCCATCGTTCCCTCTCCCCCCCCCCCAAAAAAGCCAAACCTCCCAAACTCCTGAACCGCTTCTTTAAAATAAAATTTAAAACTCTCCTGGCATTCTGTAAAGTTTTGGATGGTGGCCGTCAAAGATGACACGCTCCCCCCCCCAAAAAAATAAACCCCATCATAACCGAAACGGCAGGTGTGTGCAGATGACACGACTGTAGTGATAGCATCTTTTTGGTTTCCCCAGAAGGAGAGCGGAGGGGAAGACACAGGAATTTTTAAGACCGATTTCCCCTCCACATCACACCTTCACTTCGACAAGGGGTGGGCTGGGGGAAAGAAATAACCCTCCAACACTCCGAGGGCCCCCCCCCCCGTGACCCTGCAGTTTTCGGTTTTAGGATTCCAGTAAAACCAAAAGCAACGGAGGGAAACCTCAGGGCGCAAGGGGAGGAAAACAGAGGGGCTTCCCGGAGACTTAGTGTGTCGTCGGCCATTGCAGACTCCCGGCGGAAAAACGGCTGGAGGCCCCCCCTCTCTCCTGCAGATGTCCAGAACCGTGCAGGGGGGGCAGTGTCTCTACCCGTTAAGAATTCTTGTCCGGTTTTGCACAGGGCGGTGGCGGGAGAAAGAAGGAGGAGTCTTTTTTTGTAAGGGGAGAGGGCAGTGGAGAGGACTCAGAACCGAAGTTTTAAATAATCCCGTAACGCGAGTCTCTGCCAATTCCACGTGAAAAGTCTCGCCGTGCCCGCAGGCCCCTGTTTTCAATTTGTTTTAAAATAACTAATATATATAGATTTATATATATTTATATATATATATAGATTTATATATATATATATAGATTTGTATATATTATCCTGCGATTCTAGTTCCTTTTTCGCCGCGCCAGAACTGCCGCCACAGCCACCCGCCCTCCTGGATGTGTGGGGAGCTGCGAGGCTCGCGGCAGAGAGGCAACAGCAGCGGCGAGAGAGTCAGCGGCCCTTCGCGGCTCCTATCATTGGTCGGGGTGATCCATGGCTTCGTCGTAAGTGATTATCCTTTTGGGGTCTGGAGAAAGGGGGGAGAAAAACAGCGAGCGTGAAGTCAGGTCCTCAAGCGCACAAACTACCCGTGTGGTCCCCTTCCCCGCCTATGCCCACTTAGATCTGTGGAACCGGCTCAAACCCTTTCTGCATTTGCAGGAAAACGATCTTTGGAACTCCCTGCCAATTGATATCCCCATGTGCTCTTTCTGACGCCTGCTGAAAGCATTTTTCTGTAGGCAAGCCTGTCCAGATATGTTGACATGTGTTCCATTTTCTTTTTTTGCAGTTTAATTTTTTATTATTATTTTTCCACTTTGCTGGCGGCCTCCTTCCCCCTTCCTTACTCAGGGGAGGCTTGGGAGCTGCAATAGCAGCGATACCGTAAGGTCGCAAATATAAGCCGCACTTTTAACTTTTCACGGTTGGAATCTTGGGGGGGGGGGGAGTGCAGCTTATATTAGGGCCAATACGGTATAAAAAACGCTGCAAAAATGCTTTTTTTAAAAAACGTTTTGAAAAATACATTGAGTTTTGCATAGCTCACCATCGCCATCTAGTGTCACATTTGTGTAATGGCACTTTTGCTACTTTTTTTTTTACAACGCACCTAAAACGTTTTATTTGCAGCTGTACAGCAGAGTCCTGATTTTAATCACCTTCTGTGTTTCAAATGATTGCTTTTAATGGTTTGGATTGATCGTTTTGTTGCATCATTATTCTTGCAAACCTCTTTTGCTTTTTAAAAAAATAATTAATGTGTTATATAAAGCTTATAATCAAGCAGTATATAAATTTTATTAAAACAAAGAGGTCAAAGTAAAATACCTCCTCCCTCCTCCTGCATATTAAGCTGATGGGTGGAAACCTTCGCCCTGCAGATGTTACTGAACTTCCAGCTCCTATCAGCCTCAGCCAGCGTCCCCAATGGGATGAGGCGAGCTGCAATTCAGCAACATCTGGAAGGACAAAGGTTCCCCTCGCCTGACATAAAGCCACTGGGGTCCTTCCTACAGGAAATTAAGATTAGTTTAAACCAGCTAAACAATTAAGCCTCCCAGAGGAGAGTTCCCAAACACTGGTTTGTGGCAGAGTCTCTCTCCCTCTTGGAAAAAAATCCCATCATCCCTGGGTTCAAATTTATACAAGCAAGGAAGCCCTCCGAGGGTCCTGATCTACACCACAGGGCTGTTGTTGAGGGTAAATTATTGTGGTTTTTTTAATGGAGTGGCCCTCCCAATGTTGCTGAATTGGAATTCCCAGCATCCCTGCCCACTGGTCACGCTGGAAGGCCACAGTCCTCCACCATTGGCAGCCGAATTTCCACACAACTCCCCCTACACAAAATAAATTAACCGGCCCTTCCTTCGCAGTGGGGCAGAGGCAAAGCAGACTGTCGTGGCCGTCGAGAGATTCTTACCTTGCTTTTTCAAATTACAAATTGTTTCCATTTCTGTGGAGAGAGAGAAGAGGGGAAAGTTAAGTATTTCAGATTCGGATCTTTGTGGAGCATTCGACAAAAGGATGTTTCTTCAAGCGATAACCACCACCCTCCCCCAATTTCAACAGGATTACTGGGACGCCAAGCACCTATTTTTATTTAGCTACACTTAAAGGCTCTCTGGTTTGCATTGAAGAAAGGGGTCACCTGCCCAGAGGAATGCAATCTAAAAAGTTAAAAACACACAAGATTGATAAAGAAGGCAGCCCTGTTTAGGGAAGCTTTTAATATTTAACTGACTATTGCATTTTAATATTCTGTTGGAAGCCGCCCAGAGTGGATGGGAAAACCCAGCCAGATAGGCAGGCTATAAATAATAAATTATTCTTATTATTATTGGGGTGGGGAAGAGGGAGAGGACCCCAATTCTGCAATCTGCATCTCTGCAAAACTGGCACCCCTCTTTTCCAGCCCATCTCGGGGCTCCCAGCTCCTGCTAGCTGGCATGGCCAGAGATTATGGGCGCTGGGAGTCCAGCCAGAGCCAGGGAGAGCCAGTTTGCAGAAGGCTGCCTTGGCCCATATGCCTCACAGAATCATCAGTCGGAGGGGACCCTGTGGATTACCTAGTGCCACCCCCTGCCATGCAGGGAAATGCAGGAATGGAGAGAAAAAGACACACAAGCGCCCTTTCCCCAAGTCTCTCTGGAAGCTTGAGGACTAGGCGCTTTGAGAAAGAAAAAGAGGCGTTGAATGAATGGTGTTATACAGGGTGAACCACCCACAACTGCTAACTTTCTGGCCCGGGTTTAAGAAACAGGGAATAATAATAATAATAATAATAATAATAATAATAATAATAATATTCTGGGCGGCTTCCGACAAAGATTAAAAATACGTTAAACCGTCACACATTAAAAACTTCCCTGAACAGGGCTGCTTTCAGATGTGGCGCTGGATCAGGCCACGGGGTCAGGTGGGAAGAAACCGTGTGGCACCTCCTGCCCTTCTGGAGAGCATCTCTGAGCAGCTGCTCCATTTGTGCCACAACCTGTGAGTGGCAGAGGGGGAACCTCAGCAGCCTCTGGACTGCAGCTGCCACCACATCCCCGACTGCGGCCAAAGCTGGCCTCTGGAAGGATACCAGGAGAGCAGAAAGCTCTCCGCCTTGGCTGGTTTTCCCCTTTCTGTCCCACACTTTCTGTCTCCCCCAGATTAGCAGGAGAGAACATGGGAAGAAGGCCTGGCTGCTGAATCAGGCCAAAGAGGGTAATAAATAAATAATAATAAATAAATAAATAAATAATAAATAAATAATAAATAAATAAAAAAAAATAATAAATGTTTATTTAGACCCCGCCCTCCCTGGCCAGAGCTGGGCTCAGGGCAAGTAACACCAGTAAAATTACAATAAAAACATAATGGGGGGGGGGGGACACAATTTAAAATACAGGTTAAAAATACAATTTAAAATGCAGCCTCGTTTTAATAATAGCCCATAGATCAAAACCATAAGGGGAGGGCAACATAAGGGTCAGACTGAGTCCAAACCAAAGGCCAGGCGGTACGGCTCTGTCTTGCGGGCCCTGTGGAAAGATGTCAAGTCCCGCAGGACCCTGGTCTCTTGTGACAGAGCGTCCCACCAAGTCGGGGCCAGTACAGTGGTACCTCGGGTTACATATGCTTCAGGTTACAGACTCCGCTAACCCAGAAATAGTGCTTCAGATTAAGAACTTTGCTTCAGGATGAGAACAGAAATCGTGCTCCGGCAGCAGGAGGCCCCATTAGCTAAAGTGGTGATTCAGGTTAAGAACAGTTTCAGGTTAAGTATGGACCACCAGAACGAATTAAGTACTTAACCCGAGGTACCACTGTACTGAAATGGCCCTGGCCCTAGTTGAGACCAATCTATCCAGCCCAGAAAGATTGGAAAGCTGCTGCTGGTCAGAGTCAAGAAGCTTGGGGTAGATGAGCAAAAGAGTGATCACGCCTCTTGGAGGCAAGATGTCAAACTGTTCTTATATGCAACAAGAGCGCCAAGAATCTTGTTAGCCCAGAAGTGGAAGCCAGAAGAAATTCCAACGAAAGAAGAACGGCAGACGAAATTAATGGACTATGCAGAATTGGACAAAACGACAGGAAGGATTCAAAACCTGCGGGACCAGAGATTTACAGAAGACTGGAAGAAGCATATGAAGTATTTGAAGAGCAATTGTAACCAACAAATTACGCCAGAAGAAGTTTTGTAAGGAGAAATATACAAAGTGTTACAAGGTAGAAAAAGATGAGAGATATTGGTTATGAGTTTTAAATGTAAAAGGGAAAGTAAGAAACGCATCCGAAGAGATTAGATTGGAGAATTTTCAGGCAGGACTGATGGAAGCGGAAAAATTGAGTAAGATGTAAAAGTATGTTGAATTATTGTTGAAAATGGTATGTTAAAAAACTAATAAAAAATTATATATTTTTTTAAAAAGAGTGATCACGCCTCTTGGAGGCATCAAAACACCACTCAGCAAAAGAGGAGTGCTCTGATTTTATTTCTGACCAGCCCGTTAAAAGGGGAGCAGCCTGCATTGTCCAAGATTTGGAGAGGAAGCCTTCTCCTCCTCTTCCTCTCTCTACAGGTCCTGCCTTGGGCAGCTTTACTCATGAGGAGCCTGCTCAGCTATAAGGCAGCAGAGCTTCCTCTGCCCAATGGGACGGTCAAGACCCAAGGCACTTCCAACTCTCACGCCCCCTGCCAAGGGCTCAGCCTCGGCTGTGGTGCTTCCTGGCAGATGCCCTCAAAAAGCATCGCTTTGGGAAGGACCCAGGCGGCAGGTGGTGCTCCGGTGGCATCTCAGAGGAACAAAGGGGGCTGCCTTAAACGGAGCCTAGCTCAGCATGGTTGGCACTGACCGGGTTTCAGAGACGACGTCGGGAATTGAACCCGGCACCTTCAAAGTGGGTGCTCTGACGCCAAGCTGAGGCCCTTCTCTTAATGTCAAGGCCTGCTCCGCATGCAAACCTCTCCCCGTCACTCTGAACCACCTCGAGTGTTGCTATAAATACCCACCTCCTTTTTTGCGCGTGTCAGATATTCATTGAAAACGTATCACTACGCAGTTTAGAAAAAGAGCGGATGTGGGGAGCTGAGATCCATTCACAGAATGGCAGAGCTGGAAGGAGGCAACGCAGGGGTCACAGCGACCCAAACTCTCTTTTGTTCCCTAATGGCTTCTGTTATCCCAGATGCTGACAGGACTCCAACTCCCAGTGGCCAGAAAAGCCAGGGGCGGTGATAATGAGGAACCAGGAGACCAGAAACATCTGGAGGGTGGTTGCCGCCTCTGGTACCCCTGCCCTACGGCCCCCGATCTGCAAAAATTGTTAGTGGTGGAGCCATAAACCGGCTAGCACATTTGCAAAGCCAAGCAGGGTCTGATATGGTTTCAAATTGGATGGGGGACCTGGTGCTGAGTTTCCTGCAATGCGCTAGATGCCCCTCACAGTCCCTCCCAATTCTACAAGGCTACGATTCTAAGCCTTGCCCGTTTCTGCTGCCAGAGAAGAGAACCTCCACGTCTGGACGCAGTCTACCTTATGGGACCAGCTGCTGTGGTTCAAAAAGATGATTGACATCTTTGCCCCGCTAACCACCTTCCCAGAAGCACCCCTCTGCCCCTATCTGGCACTGGATGACATCAGGGGTGGGGAACCTGCATGCCCCCCCCCCCGGTGCTGGGACTCCAAATCACATTTGGGAAAGACGGGAGTTGTAGTCTAGCGGCGCCTGGAGGGGCCGCCAGAGGCTCCCCCTCCCTAATCTCAAGGGAAGAGGACAGCTGAAGATGCCGAAGGGGGTGTCAAGAGAAAGCAAGGCTCTCCCCCACCATTCCACACACCCCCCCAAAAAAACCTCCTTCCAGGTGGGGCTGATGGAGTTGTAGTCGAAAACACCCAGAATGTTGTCAGGTTGGCAGAGGCCACCATAAGAGAGCAGCGAGGCCACCTCCATGGCTGAGGGGGGTCCCTTTGCAAACTGCCACCCCCCCCCTTTACACTGCTGAGGCTTGTCCTGGACCCCCTGAAAAAGACAACTTTAGAACCAGATTTTCCCCACACTAGCACTTGGGCACCTAAGCAGCTCCCACCATTGGTGAGTTCTGCCCCCTGGAAATCACTGTTGCTCCTGAGACCTGGTGGCTGCCACAAAACACAGCAACCCATATTTTCACTTCTTCTTTTTTCTTCTTCTTTTTTTTGCAAGGAAAGGGGACGCGGAAAATAAGGAGCCCCTGCTGTCTTAAAGTACTTATAGCCTTCCTCTCTTAACGTTTTCACTGGGATGGGACAACGAACACGTTGTTGTGAAATACTGCAAGCTACAGTAGGATTTTTACTGCATGGTATTTGCATGGTGAGCCGTCTTGGGGGGTCTGCAAGGCAGCCTATAAAGAACCAACAGCGTAACGCAACACCTGGATAGGAAAGGAAGAGGTGTTTTCCCCACATCCTTAGGCTGCAGATGTCGGAATGGCATGGGGCAGGAGAATCGGGGGGGGGGGGGACACAGTGTTGGATCTCTCTCTCTCTCTCTCTCACACACACACACACACACAAATACAAAGGGGCAGGGGAGAAAATAAAAAATGAATAAATAGGCATGTTAATGATGCTCTAGCAGCCTCAAATAAAAAGTGAGATGCTTCGACCGTCCATTTTCTCAGACCAACACTCCAACCAGACACATAATCTATAAAACCATTTATCTTCCGACATCCGCACGGCTGTTTCTCACCACAACACCTGCCCACTTCGATATTTCCCCCTGACAAAAAGCGCCCCAAAACCAAGTGGGGTTTGTCTCTTTCCTCCTCCCTCCCAGCCCATTTTCCTTTCGTGCTGCGTCCTTTGAGATTGTAAAAGGCCTTTTTTTTTAACTTTATTTCCCCCCTGTCAATGGTCTGCAAGCTGCTCTGGGACCCCATTTTTGTCCGAAGAGCATGATTTAAAATAAAAAACCGTTCCCCAAACCTGCACTAAATCCAGACAGAACCGGAGCCTGAAGAAGGACACCAACGAAGATATAGATTTACCTTGAGTGTGATATAGAACAGCCGCCCTCAGGTCAAAATCACCCCAACTCTCTTTCCTTCCTAGGCCACTCTGGCACCTCAGTTCTTTGGCGGAAACTAACAAATGGTTCGTGGGCGAGGCCAGGCGCCTCTCTACGTGGCAGTCCTTGGAGAGGAACACAAAGGTGCCGCCCGCTTCGGCCTGGCACTGCCCGCCGGGCCGAATGGGCTCCGAGAGGAAGCCGCCGGCTGCCTCGCCCGCGGCCGCCAGCTTCAGGATCCTGCCAGGCAGCTGCAGGCTAGTCCGCTTGTCCAGCTCGTAGGCCTTGGGGAAGGCGGGCGGTTCGGGCCCCAAGGGAGCCGCCTCGGCCCCCGGGGGTGCCAGGGCGGCCGGGCCCTCCCCCTGAAATGTCACCTCCGCGGCCTGGGGGCCTGCCGGCTTCCTGGCACCCGCCTCCGGGCCGGCGCTGGGCTCGTTGATGAACGACAACCCCCACTGGTTCTGGAAAATGTCGCCCAGGCTCTTCTGGCTGGCCTGAGGCGGCGGCGGCATCTCGGCCTGCGCGGCGGCGCTGAGGAGAGCGGCTTGCATATTCGACGGGTAGATGAACAGGCTGGATTTGGGCGGCGGAGGCTCCGCTGGGGCGCCCCCCAGGCCCGCCACGTCCAGGGGCCCCGCCTCCGAGGCTGAGAGGACCCCGCCGGGCACGAGGAGGGGCTGGGGTCCCCGGTCGGCCCCCGCCAACACCGGCCCGTTGGAGAAGCCGGCCGAGGTGACGGATTTCATGGCGGACATGGGGACCTGCGAGAGGCGGCCGGGGGGCTGCGCCTGGGCTTCGGCGGCGGACGACGAACACAGGGAGGAGGACGAAGACGAAGACGAGGACGAGGAGAGGGTCGGGGAGGAGGCGCTCTGCGCGGCGGCCTTGTTGAGGTTCTCCTTGACTTTGCTCGCGTAGCTGATCTTGGGGACGATCTTGGCGCTGCTGTTGTCCACCGGGAAGACGGGGGGAGGCTTGAAGAGCGTCCAGGAGTCCTCCTTGGAGGAGGCCGCCGGCACGTGCTTGCCCTTCGGCCGCTCCTCGAACTTCTTGCCCACCCCGGCGCCGGCCTTCCCGTCCGAGTTCTTCCGCGGCGGCACGTCGCCCGGCTTCCCGCGCCCGGCCCCCAAGCCCCCGGCCTCGCACTTCCAAGCCGGCTTGGGGGCGTCCACCCTGCCCCCCGCCTTCGCCTCCCCGCCCTCGGGCTCCTGCTTCGAGGCCGCCGTGCTGGTCGAGGGTTCGTGCGGTGCGGCCTGCGCCAGGCTGAGCGCCTCGCAGCCCTTGGCGCTGTTGCGGCGCCCCTTCCGCTTCTTGGGGGTGGTGTAGCTGCTCTCTGAGCCGCTGCCGTCGTTGTCGGCCCCCCTGGCGACGTAGCCGTTGGCGATGTACCCCGTGGAGACCATGCCGTTGGGGATACAGAGGGCCTCAGGCTTGTCGGGGGACCGGCCCTCAAAGCCTTTCTCCGGCTTCTTGTCCGCAGCCCCTTTGGGGACAAAGCCCTTGGGCTTGAGCCCCAGCTTCCCAAAGGCACCGCTCCCCTTCACAGTCTGCTTGAGCGCCAGGGCGGGGTCCCCGGGGGTCTGGCTGCCGTTGGGGACCCGGGAAATGGGGCTGGCCGCAGCATCGCCCCCGTTCAAGCTCTTGGGGGGGGACTCCCGTTCTCCAACGCTGCCATTGAGCTCGCCGTAGCCTAGGAGGAAGAGAGAGGCAGAAGCGTTAAGGTCAGAGGCTGTGCTGTGTTCGTATCCCACCTAGACTGCCCTCTGGCCCGCTTTCAACTGGGACTTTTAGGGTAGACCGCCTCTGCGCCTGGAGGCTCACCGCAGTCATCGCCCACAAGTGGACACTTGCTGGAAGCAGGGTTAGAAATTAGCCAGGCACCAGATGCGTTTTGCGACTGGCGTGGGTCCAGTGGCAACCATTTGAAGATCCCTGGATGCCAAGTTGGCAGCCGGGTAAAGCAAAATGGATCTGAAATACTGCCCTGAAAGCTTGAATTTGTTTTATTCTGGATTGTTTTATTTGATGTTCTAGTGTGTTGTCAAGTGCACTGAGATTTGTACTTTAAAATATAAAGTGGTATAGAAATGGAATTATTATTAATAATAATAATACTTCCAACGTGAAAAAACCTGGCACCTAGACATTCCATTTATGGCAACCATAACCTAGGTTTAACGTGCTATTTGGTGATCAGATCATATATCCGAGTTTTAACACTGGCTGTAAGCTGGTTGGGTCAGACTCACAGGGGAAAGGCAGCATATTAAAGAAACTCAGTCCATCAAACATTATTGTTATTATTTGTATTCAAGAACATCTGGGTGCAGAATGATACAGTTCCTGCCCCCCAACCTAAGGTGCCAGGGTGGGTTACCACAAAAAATAATCAATCAATTAATTGCACTTATATTTCACCTTTTTCTTTGAGGCAAGGTAGCATATGTGGTTCTCCCTCAAACTCTTACACATGAAGGAGCTAAAAGTTGCTTTTGCTCCTGTTAGAATACCAAGCACTCCAATCTATGTGCTCAGCACCCAGGTACGTCTGTTATTTATTCATTTCCCCTCAAGATTTGCACGGGGGGGGGGGGGGGGGAGGCGTATGATAGAACCTCAATGGACCACACAATGTGGATGCGCCAAACCAAACAGATTCACAGTAGTAAAGGCACTGGGGACTTCAAGCCTGGACTACCGCAAGGCACTCTACGTGGGGCTTCCCTTGCACCTGATCTGAAAGCTGCGGTCAATGCAGAATGCTGCAGCACGGTTGCTGACAGAAGTGAGACCCACGACACAGGTGCTCAGAGATCTGCGCTGCGTGCCCACTTGCTGCCAGGCCAAGTTCAAGGCGTTACTATTAGCAGACAATGTCCTTGCCAGCTTGGGACCAGAGATCTCCTTGCCCCATATAAGCCCACTTGACAGCTTCGCTCTGCAGAAGCGGCCCTCTTACGGGTGCCACATAATCCCCGTTTCACATTTGTAAGGATTAGTGTGGCAGCCCCTACACTTTGGAACTCCCTGCCACTTGACACCAGGCAGGCGCCTTCGCTGTACTTTGCAGCAACTGCTCAAAACATGCTCATTTAGGCAAGCCTATCCAGAAACGCAGAACGCCCTCGTGTGTATTTTAGCTTATCGCTAATTTTATTTTATTAATGTTTTTAAATGCTCGTTTTTTAACTGGGGTTTTTTTTGGGGGGGGTTGCATCTCCTGCCCTCTGGCAATGGGGCCCACAGATTTCCCCGCGGACTGCAGAGAACTTGGGGGCAGAACTTCTGTCTTATGCTGAGTTCCGGAGTGGGTGAAAACGTCTGCCTGCTCCAAAATTCAAGATGACTCAAGAGATTTCCCCCACCTATTTCCCCCCCCCCTACAAGGTGGGAGCACAACTCTGCTGCGCCAAGCACAATGCCAAAAACCTCCCAACTGATGGAAGCAGGGAACTTTTGGTGCTGAGACGTGGCCCTGCTGTTCCCAGACAAAAAAAATTATCCATTCCAGGTAGGGCCTGAAACCCTGAGAGCCACTGCACTGAGCCAGGCGGACCAACTCTCCGTGTACTCCGATCAAGGCAGCTTCCTGCGTTCCTGGATGCACCTAGGACCTTGTGAATTCAAAACAGATGCTCCACAGCTGAGCCACAGCCCATGCCCAGGAGACCTCAGGCTTATGCGGGCAGCTTTCTTACGCAGAGTAAATCCATGGGCACTGTGTTTACTGGAGATGCCATCAGGGATGGAACCTAGAGCCTTCTGGTTGCCAGGCGGATGGTCTCTACCCCTGAGCTATGCCCCTATGCCAGGGGTCAGCAAACTTTTTCAGCAGGGGCCACTGTCCCTCAGACCTTGTGGGGGGCCGGCCTATATTTTTTTTGGGGGGGGGATGAAGGAATTCCTATGACCCACAAATAACCCAGAGATGCATTTTAAATAAAAGGGCACATTCTACTCATGTAAAAACACGATGATTCCCGGATCGTCTGCAGGCCGGTTTTAGAAGGTGACTGGGCCGGATCAGAGGACAAGATGGTTGGATAGTGTTTTCGAGGTTACCAGCATGAGTTTGACCAAACTGCGGGAAGTAGTGGAGGACAGAGGTGCCTGGCGTGCTCTGGTCCATGGGGTCACGAAGAGTCGGACACGACTAAACGACTAAACAAAGGGCCGGATCCAGCGCCCGGGCCTTAGTTTGCCTACCCGTGCCCTAAAAGGTAAAGGGACCCCTGACCGTTAGGTCCAGTTGCAGACAACTCTGGGGTTGCGGCGCTCATCTCGCTCTATAGGCCGAGGGAGCCGGCGTTTGTCCGCAGACAGCTTCCGGGTCATGTGGCCAGCATGACTAAGCCGCTTCTGGCGAACCAGAGCAGCGCACTGAAACGCCATTTACCTTCCCGCTGGAGCGGTACCTATTTATCTACTTGCACTTTGATGTGCTTTCGAACTGCTAGGTTGGCAGGAGCAGGGACGCGGGTGGAGCTTTGGGTTAAACCACAGAGCCTAGGACTTGCCGATCAGAAGGTTGGCGGTTCGAATCCCTGCGACGGGGTGAGCTCCCGTTACTCCCTGCTCCTGCCAACCTAGCAGTTCGAAAGCACCCATGCCCTATGCTCTCCAATTCCTTCCCACATACAAATACCACGCGAAGGCACACAGGAAACTAGAACCGCAAGACGAGCCCTTATTTTAGTTCAGCTGGCGAAGAGCAGGAGACTCTTAATCTCAAGGTGGTGGGTTTGAGCCCCATGTTGCGCACGAGATTCCTGCATTGCAGGGGGTTGGACTAGATGACCCTCGGGGTACCTTCCAACTCGACGATGCCATGATCTCCGTGGAAATTGTAGAGTTTGAAAGGATCCCAAGGTCCAATCCCCTGCAGGTATCTCAACTAAAGCACCCCTGGCAGATGGCCATCTAACCTCTACTTGAACACCTCCCAGGAAGGAGAGCCCTTCCAAGGGGGTCCGTTCCACCATCAAGCAGCTAACACATAATTCTCTGCAGGTAGCTACAGTGGTACCTCGGGTTAAGTACTTAATTCGTTCTGGAGGTCCATACTTAACCTGAAACCATTCTTAACCTGAAGCACCACTTTAGCTAATGGGGCCTCCTGCTGCCGCCACACAATGTCTGTTCTCATCCTGAAGCAAAGTTCTTAACCTGAGGTACTATTTCTGGGTTAGCAGAGTCTGTAACCTGAAGCGTATGTAACCCGAGGTACCACTGTATTGCCTTATAATACAGGAGAGAGCTGTGAGCTGATGATGCAAGCTGCCCCTGTTCACCACCGTCCCAAGTGGTCCATCCCAAGAACTACGGACTAAGAGAGGGGACAAAACACCTCCGAGCAGCAGAGGCTGCTCCCAGCTCCAACTTTAAGTGGATTAGGCCAGGGCACCAGCCATTTCCACAGCCTGGAAACTGCTAAGTGCGCAGAGACTCGGCTGGCGACGGATCTTTTCTTCCTGTTAATATTTATTCTGCCACTGCTGTTCTTTAGAAATGTTTAGAGAGAAAGAGAAGGTACACGGGCGTAGCAGTGTTGCACTGGGGGAAGGTGATGAACCGGTAAGAAACTTGGGAACCTAAGGAGAAAAAACCACCAGGATCAGGCCCATCCAGTCCAACGTCCTGTTCTCACAGTGACCGGCCAGATTCCTGTGGGAAACCTGCATGCAGGATGCGAGCACAAAAGCCCTCACCTCTCCTGCAGTTTCCTGCAACTGAGATTTAGAAGCAGGCAGAGTAGCCATTGTGGCTAATAGCCATGAATACCCCTCCCCTCCACTGATTTGTCCAATCCTATTTTAAAGCCATCCATGCAAGAGGTCGTCACTACCTCCTGTGGCAGCGAGTTCGAAAGTCACCAAACAGACACCGCAATTCAGAAATGCAGGGCTTGGGAACCAGGAGCACCAAAACCCCTTCCATTATTATTTTACATTCTGGTCCAGATTTTCCAAGTACACAAACAGAAGACGCCCTTGAGGCAGGGTTCGAAATTAGCAGGGCGCCAGGCGCATTATGCGCCTAGAAATTCTCCATTTGCAAGCGCCTCAAAAAGACTGGGCGCCATTTTTTGCGCCTGGCTGACACTCCAGGATTACGGAAGGGTAGGCCCTTTGAAGCCTCGAAGTAACTGTTACGGATAGACAATATGTCAAAGTGTTTAACAATAAAGAGTAGAGTGTTTTGAAAACTGAAGTACGGTACCAGTATTTTTATTGTCAACACCAAATTAAGCATGCGTTAACAATTTCTGCTAAAAATGTGATACTAGCAATGTGTCGCTTACGTTAATTGTGAATTAATTCCTGCTTATCAAAATAATAAATAGTTGCTGACTTCCCGCCATAACAGCAACTAGACGTTCTGTTTGGCGCCCACAACTCAGGTCCCAGGAGCCATTTGGCTCCTAGCTTTTCCACTCTAGTTTCCAACACTGCCTGGAGGCCTGTGCAGGGAGGCAGTGACCCTCCAAGGTGTGATGTTACTACAACTCCCATCATCCCCGGCCATTCTGGCTGCTGGAAGTTTGAGTCCAACAGCATCTGAAAGGCCACACAGGTCGTCTCCCCCCCCATCCCCAAGCTACAGCCCTTTCCCCTCAAAATGCAGCAAGTTTCCAGACCTGATGGCTCTGAATCAAGGATTGAAATAGGAAACTCCCTTATGCAGAGTCCA